TTCTTTGTTTATTGATGTTTCATTTCTTAAGGCAAAAACCATACATCAACTCATAATCCTTAACACTGACAGACTGCAAGCTCTTTTCTATACTTATTCACGTATAATCACATCTAAGACAAATTTCTGAAAATAATTTGGTGATAAATTGGCAATCTACTTACGCAAGTCTTATAAAGTCGTCTTGTTATTGTGAACTCCCTCATGTGATTTTTTTTTTAAAGAAACTGTAAATGACTCTTGGAACAACTGTTTCTATCATTATATATCCCTACAAGAATCAGTACAAACTGATCCTGCTTTCATCAGGTATACTTCCTTTTTGTTTCAGATGTGCCCAGAAGGTAAAGTTACAGAGTCACAACACAAAACTCCAGCCCAAAGACAGAAAAATTGTATATGCTTTAACGCAAATAGGTAGCCTTCCAGTCTTAAAATATTCTACACATACTGTCTAAATTACAGCAAGCTGCCAGTCTGCCCTGACATGCTCCAGCAGTTCTGCTTCAGCATGTTCCTGAACTTGTAAGGGAGTCCTTACAAGACAGTCTTGCAGCTTCCATCCTTTCTGTCATGATTTACAAGATGGAGTACCTATAAGAATCTCATTCACCCAGCTTGTCAAAATGTCAGGATTTTGCTGGAATTCAAATTATGTTATTTTCATTCTGTCTTTGCAGCAAAACTTTCAGTCATATCTTGATTTTTCTAGCACAACCTCTTTCTTCAGAGGCTGATTGATCACTGCATTGTTTCCCATCAGTCCAACAGAATTGCCTCCACAGCACTGTGGACCATTGAAAAAAGAACACAAATTCCAGGAGAAGAGCCTTTTAAAATGTTATTTATGGACAGCTTGCAGTAGTGGTACAGACCCCCTCAGCAATTGCACATATTACACTGAACAAGTGTAATAAATGTGTATGATTTTTTTTTTCTTTGTCACCTTTCAGAAATCACCCACAAAACATTCCCCACATAATCCTTTCTCTCCAATCCACATACGTTTATACAGGCTCTTGCTTACATGGGCAAAGATGCCAGAGTAACCAGTTCTCACATTCCTAGTAGCATTTTTCAGTCAAAAAGTTAACATTTCCTTTGCATAGTAGCCTCATTGTCAGAATGTTTGGGTCTAAATTGATCTGTTTCCATTCATAAACTTTTGTGGTACACAAAATGTCTATCCATGAAAAAAACCAGAAATTACATACAAAGATGAGAAGTACACCTTAACACAGTGTCTTTCAAAAAGATATTTGAATTCTTACCTTAAAAAGTACTTCCCATGAGATCAAGGATTTGACTCAGTGCTCAGATCTGTAACATAAAAGCACTTTTAATGAAGAGTCCAGGTGAACTTCAATCTTTAACGCTATGGTAAAGTTAACAAAACCAGGACTGTTTTAAATGCTTGCACTTGTGACATTGACTTCCCTTTTGCTGTTAAAACAGAAGAGAATTCTACTTACACAATCAGTTTGTCATATCAGTAGCTGCTACCTACTTGTCCATGTTGTTCCTTGGGTTTATGCTTAGCGTCATATATGTAAGAAATATTTCTAAGAGAATATTTACACAATACTTCTAATGACTATGCTTTCGTTTCTGTCAGTAGTTCTATTATGAGTTGATTCCTGGAGTCAATTTTTTAATTGATTCACATGACACTATATATGCAAATTATTTGGAAAAATAATTGTTATTGTTGTAGTAGTTACGGAAGAGGTAAACGCTTGTAAATGAAACCTGGTTTGGAATATTCGCAGACACTGGAGTTGGGGTGGGGAATGGCTGCATTCTGAGGTCTCCTCTACTCCTGCTGCTCTTGTACTCAGAATTCAAAACTGACTGAAAGCAGACACCATCACATTATCTGTAATGATACCTGGTGCCAGCTCAGGTATCAGTATTACACACAGCTGACAAATACCACGATAACAGTTTCTTTTTGTTCAGGTGAATAGTATCACTTACAGACCGATTTTCTTACAGGACAATGATAGTTAAGAAAGATGATGCTGGGGGAGTTTCAGCTTTAGCCTACCTTGCCTAGATAATTTAACTTCTTCATTAATATACAATAGAAGCATCTTCAAATAAAAGACTTGTAGCAGCTTGAGAAAATTAGAAGGTAGTGCAAAAATAGGCAGGGTAACAAAAGGTACATTATATTTGCTAGACAAACAGCCTGAGCAATTCCATCTCTTACCAAGTTTTAGAATATTATTTTCATGACTTCTTCGAACTATATCACTAGGCTTAACAAGAGATGTTATTCTTCACAAACTTTGCCTTGCTTATCCCCTGATTATCAAGGCTACAAACAGCTCTATGGCTATTTCTTCTTTAAGCATTATTGATCAGTATTTACAGTAACACCCTTCAGGAGAAAAGTCAAGAGTAGCATAAGTCATAGGCCAGGACAATGGAGCACAGCAGTGGTAGCACCTTTCCTCTCTTCACAGTTTAAGTATCAGTTCGTTCTGCCTGTAGAGGTTGTTCAGCAAGCTCTGGAAATCTCAAGTGCAGAGTATGTAATGGAGGACTGTGCTAATTCTCAGAATTTAAAGGGTTGCTTAAAACAGCGCAGATATATTTCTAAGATGTGTTTTCACACCGTATTTATGTATGCTATGGTGAGCTCTGAACTCCCAAAATACCAGCTACACCTGTCTTGGGCTGGTGTAGTAATTTCATTCCTTCTTACGAGCAAATTTCTCATGTTAAAAAGTAAATTCTGTGATTTGGAGACTTACAAAGCACATAATAGAACATAATTTCACCCTTTCCCCTTTTTATCTCTGCTGTCTATCAAACTTTGTTTTATATCTGAACACACTCCCTTATAAAGTAATTTACTCTTGACTATTTCTTTTTCTTTATGAATCCAGCCTGCAATCTGCTTCCATTGAACTTAACTGCAACCTTCCAGTACCGTCACAGACTATATGTTTTATGTCCATATTCACCAGAGCAGACCTGGCTGGCTGGGAGGAGGGGGCAGACAAGCTTTGCAATGCTTTTTGTGCAGTTGGAGTGCAAACAGTTGGTTTTAAATGTTACAGAAGTGTTAAAACACCTTAAGCAGAAAGCTTGTCAAGGCAATTAATCAGGAAAGACCACGACTCAGCAGTCAGGTCCAGACCAGGGCTCCTCCTCTGCAGGACAAAAGACGTTGTCTGTCTTGTCCAATGACAGAAGCTACTTGTTTATACTGACACAATTCCAGCATCCCTGGGTTTTTTTGTTTGTTTGTTTGTTTTTCAATGAACTCCAGAAAAAGCAAGCATTAGCTAGAGATCGTGGGTAAAAGGGAAAAAGAAAAGGAAGTCCAGCAATGTCTTTTTAGATTAGAAACCTTCAAATATAAATAAAGGAAGAGTGCAGGTGTTTTAGGCTCCCATCCCATGAAAGCACCACTGGAAATAGGGCTGAGGCCACAGCCGTGCACAGCACATCCATACTCTGAAAGGACTTGCATTTGGACTCCTATCAGTGAGTAAGTGTGAACGTTAAATCACTAGAGCCTATTTTCAGAGATGTGAATGGGAAATATTTTAGAAAACTGTACCTGGAGGATCTGCAAGAGACAGACATAGTTTTTAGGTAGTATGTATGTATGTTGGATAGACTTTGCAAGCTACATTTCATTTATCTTTCCATAGCATAAACCGATCTTTATTCATCTGGAATTTTGGCATCACGTTTGACTCCTAAGAGACTTTCACTCAATGATTCATTCTTTGGGACACAGAACCTTTGTGTCAGATAGGCTGGCTTACTTTCAAAATTACCTGTTAATCTAGCCAAGTGGGGGGTTATTCCCTAAAATTAAATCATGTAAGTCATATTCCCCTGGGAAGCAATATCAAAGAAATGAAAGAGCAGAAAACTTCCTGATTCACCTTCCTCTCATCACCAACTGCAAATGTAGATTGCTTCCAGATTTTAATCCCTGTTATGTTATCTATTAAGGGGGAGAAAAGGAAAGTGGGCAGCAACACCACCATGCTTTAATGAGCTGTGAGTGTAGCGATTGGCATCAGTAATCTCCAATTTCTGCCACTAAAATAAACTGCTTATCCTTTCAATTTAGGGGTACTGGTAGCTCAAAGATGCTGTGAAAATTAAGTAGCTAATGTTAATAATAAAATTTAAAGATGCATGAAGTGGTTATTACAATGTGGACTGGGGAGAACACCCACTCTTGTGAATCGCTTACACAATTGATCTGGTAGCTTTTCTCCTTAGACACTTGGGGAGACAAGGACTCAAATATCATCATGCCGAGTATGATGTAGAAACAAACCAACAAAACCAATGAGATAAATTGGATTGCCAAAATCCTCCCATTGTATTTTACTTCTAAAATTTTGAAGGGTAAATTTGAAATATTTTTGATGACTGAAAGTGGAGTGACATTGCTGACATGGCTGAACACTACAGAACTGCAGTAGCTATCTTTTCTGTTATCAATTCATTTTTATCTCATTTGATCTGATTGTAATTATGTGCCATTCCAGTACCAGTCTGAATGATACTATCATAAACCATGCTACTGAGGTTTGCTCTTCTCCTAATGTCTTTGTTCAGTCTATCCACAGTAGTACTGATGGCAGCCAAACATTTAACTATATGTTTTCACAACAGTGCCGGCAATACCTTGTAATTCCAGGTACCATCTTTTATTGAAATTCTTCTTAGTATTAGCCCATGAAGTACACAAAACACACAAAACATAGAAATATTGAAACACCTCTGACTTTTTTACCACAATTAGGAAGTCTGAAACTTCAACTTGAGCATTTGACACAACGTTGCTGAAGAGAGAGAATTAAAAGCTACATCCTTATTCATGTTACACTGATGTTCACTTCCTTTCCCAGAAATGGCTGACCACAGGAGAGAAAGCCTATAGACTGAAATACTGCTATGCAGAATAAACAATTACTCCTATGAACAGCAGATCTAATGAAGCCTACCTGGTTTTCTTTTAGTAGATTTGAATCCTTAGCTCTTTTTCTTCCATGGAGTCCTTGTTTAATAAGGGCTGACCTCTCATTGCACAACTTGTGCTGTGAATATAAAAGATCATTTAATATTATTCAACATTTCCATGACAAACCAGGTTGCCATGTGACTGTACATGCAAATCCTGTATATCTGCAATTTTGACCCAATGTCAAATTCTTTTCAAAAAAACAAATTGATCTCAAGTTTAAAAACACTCTCAGGCCTTTAACTAGGTAAGTCACATGTAGCTGTTTACACTGTTGACAGAAGTTAGCTGATAAACTTCAGCCCATGCAAAGGGTTAAAAACAATAAAAAGCTTATAAGGTGGGATACCTTTTCCCCATAGAGCTTTTATAGTGAAGTCTGGGGTCAGTCCTAGTTATCTTGTGAAAGAAGCTTTGTCCAATGCCTCGGTCAGGAAATTCAGCTTAGAAAAAACTGAAGCACCAGCATCCTTGTTCAAATTTACTCACAAAATTAGATTTATAATGAATGCTACTGTTTCTTCCTTTTCCCCATATTAATAGTTTCAAATATGAAATACTTTTATACTCTTCTCCAATACACTACAACAGCACTTGAAGTGCATAGAGTACTTGCAGTGTAGGGGAAGCACTACACACAGAAGTGACACTCTAATTTGTAAACATCTCCTTTTACTTCTGCAACTCGTTTAATGGTAAACCTATCACTTAATTAATTTCTGAGACTTCTATCCCATTTTCTCTTTTTTATGTAGTCAAACCAGCAAATGCTACCTCAATGCAATTCCTACCTCTTTATACCCTGTGCACAAAAATTTAGGACCTTTCAGAATTAATCTTGCAAATAGACATAATTAAACCTGGGGAAGTTACTACACAAAGCAAAGGAACAGATACTGCCACAAAAACAAGACTCAGTGAGAACTGGATCAGGCACTTAATGAGCTTCCATTGACTTCAGCAGCGTAGGGCTGTGTCCTTCCTAAGAGGCCATCAACTTATATGACTGAAATATTACCAAATATTATCAAATTAATCTCCAGTATAACTCCATTGACTTCTCTGGTGCTACACTGGGCACAAGTCTGGCCCACATGCTATAGAAAGTGTTGGCACAAACGTAAGGGAGTTCAGGAAAAATGGTAGAGGATTTGTGATGAACAGGAGGCTTAAACAGTTTTAAACCAAACACCCAAGATTTAACTTTAGACTAATTATTTTTCTATGGTGTAACTTAATGGCAATTCCTCTTAATACTGGATTAAAAAGTTTAAAATAAGCAAGCCATATTCAATGCCATGGGAGGTCTACAGTGATAATACCAATTAAGCCTAATAATCTCCTAAGTCTGTAGCTCTAAGACATTCCCCTGGGTGTTAGGTGATACTTTAGCCAAATACTGAAATGTGCGATTCAGGCAAATAAACAAATAAATAGTCAGAGCAAGATTAAAATGCCTGCCATTAACACAAAATAATCATAAATAAATGCTGCAAGTTTTTATCTAATGATTAACATATTCCCAGAAGGACTCCTGCTTTTTTCCCCACAGGCTAAGTGAGGAAATTGAACAAGGATGTGTAATATTCCATGATAACATCAAGATTTTTAGGCCTGTCTGAGACAGAATGGGTGCAAGTGCTGGAGCTGATGAGTGGACTTTCTGAGAATTCTTGTTCAAGGTATTTCAAAGCAAACTACCCCATTTGCAAAGAAGATATGAACCCTCGCCCTTTCCCTAACTCACACCCCTTCTAAGGATCAGAGAAGAGAGGGGAGGGAAGAAGCACCTGGGAATTAAATTTCAGAATCTGACTGAGAATTTTAAAATCCTCGGTTCTACAAGGTTTAGACTACTACACTCTATTCCTTACAGTTTAGCCAAAATATGTCAGATTATTCAGGCCATTCAACATCCAAAAATATACTGTGGAAGCCTCTTGCTTCTGCTAATAGGCAGACGTATCTAAGTGTCTGTGTAGCAGTACTCAATCAGGATTGTCAAGAGTTAGATTTACTGTTTATTTTGACATTCTATTAACACAACTTGTATCTGTGCCTCAAGCTCTATCCCAAATTGCTAGTGAGTTGTGCTGCTTGCATCCTTTACTGATTTTTTTTTCCAAATGATCTTCCCCAAAACCACTCTACCTTTGTAGTATGGCAGTGACCAGTGGCACAGGTAATTTCCATTTCTTTGCTAAAAATGACCTGCTTCGAAGCAAGGAAAGGACAGCTGTTTAACAGCAGTAACCACTACAAGACTGGGAGCCTGACTTTTTTTCTCAAGAGGTGCAAACCAGGCTAAAATCAAGCAGGACCTGTGCTGCCACCTGCTGCGCAATCTTATTTATTTTTTGTTCTCAATTAAAAATGCAAGCAATTTTGCGACAAAAGATTCTATTGCAGAATGCAGGTGTCTAGCCTAATTTCTCTCATAAAAAATCCTCTAGAGGGGAGGAGTTAGACACATATGGGAATGGAGAAAAATGTGTCTTGAAGCATTTCAAAGTGTACACTCATAGTGCTTTCATGCAAAATCAAACAGGCGGGTGCCTCAGCTGAGAAGGTCACACACGTCTGCTCTGTGATATTAGTTTACATGTGCACTATCTGCATGTTTACAACCCAATCTACTTTAATCTCTACAAAATCAATAGTCTCAAAATACCAACTACTGCTGACATTTAAACTGTTTTACAAAGTATGTGAATAAATGCATAAGAACTATTTTTAACCCTACAGATAATATAAAGGTTTGGCTATGTGTTAATCATATTAAATTGCACTCATGTGCTTGACTGAAGGTCTTTTCCCTGTTTTTTTTTGAAAGAAAAGCAGAAGATTTGTGGGTTTTCCTTATTCACAAAACAGATAAGTTACCTCAGCTAAGAAATTTTCACATCAGCTGTATAAGGCTTCCCAGCAGACTTTCTTCAGTTACTAGATAAGGAGGCCACTACGTTTGTCTCTCTCAGAACTATTCCACTCATCTGTTACTGAAACACAAAGATATCTAATGAATAAGAGGAATACTAGACTTGTGCAAAGCTCTTTTAATTCCTCATGAGAATTATTCTAGATAGGTGCAATATATTAAAGTTAAATACTGTCTTGAGGTGGAGGCAGGCAGAAATTGCTGAAAATAAAGCAGACTAGTAAAAATCTGTTGAGATCTATGTTGCATTCAGTACATAGACAGAACAATTTTCTCTGTTTGATCACTAGTGCCCCTACGCTCTCTATATTATTAAAACTTTTGGGGAAAAGATGGTGAGTTGACTAAAATATTGACAAAGGATAACTAAAAATACTTGGAAAACATTTGCAAGATCTTGAGAACAGAAAAAAAAATCACCATGTTTATAATAGTACATGTTTGCAGAAGGTATTTTGTTGCTGACAATGCCTCAGTGATTGGGTGTTTCTCCCCTAATGTCGCTGAAAGACTTGAAGCCCTTTTCAGAACTCACCCCTCTACCCAAGACAGGTTTAATTAGATCATTTGTATGAACTCACTTGCTCACAATGTTTCAAAGCAGAAAAAGCAAGTCTCAAAGGAGCTTTTTCATGCTCAGTGCTACTGCTGAATATCATATCTCAATTCCTCTTCAGTTCTTTTCTTCCAGAGTTCCAAGCCTCATAGTTTCTGCACAAACAAACTAGTTAGTCCAAACTTTGGTATTTGCTTTATACCTAAAAGCCAGGATTGTAGCTCTACCTGGATGGCTTTTCAAGTACTCTCTCTTGAAAAATGGTTGCTCTTGTCCTAGATCTTCTCACAGGGTTTCCTAGTTCCAGATGACTTCTCTAGGCTTGTATAGACTTCTTTTACAGGAAAATAAACATTTCTGCAAGAGTGCACATAATGAGAAAATTAGAACACTAATGTCAAGCATCAGTCTTAATAAGCTCTATACTAAATGTACACATTGCATTTACAGATGCAGTACCATGAAATACAGGGCATCTATCCCCTTCTTAAACCTTTTCCCCACTTATCTCCTGGGATAATACGTATATAGTACTGCCTAACCCGGAGCCTGTTTCCAGACTCTTCTTCCAATGAAGGTTTCAAAAGCTCAAACAGGGCTACATGTTTCAAGTGACTGATTTAAGTCACAGTGCAATTTTTGCTTCATATTTTAATGGGAGCTGGAGAAGACCTGCCAACTAGCAAAACTGTCCAACCAAAAGATACTAAAGAATTGTGGGAGGACATCAAGGTCTCAACAGAGACATCAGTGCTTTGGTGTGAATGTTGCACTGTTGTTAAAATCTACTCTGTATTGGTAGAATGCTTTGAACTTGATCTTGCACCACGCAAATAATTTGTTCACCTCTGTCAGGTATTTTTGGGGAACGAAGTCAGATTCCGACATATTACAAAATAGTTCTCAGAATACAAGGAATTATTTTGATAGTACCAACTAGACAGCACTGATTATGCTGCACTTTCTTCCATATTAGTATCACCTCCCTGTCAAGTAATAGCAGGTAGTCTTCTCTATCCACAAGATACCAGTGAAAATACCTTCAGAGGTAAAGATAGCAATTATATAGATACCAAGTATGTTTTAAATATACCTTATTTCATTTACATGATTTGCAGATACCTCATGGCATTAGAGAAATAGGAGAGGGCATTACACTGAAGGTTTTAAAGAAACTTTTGAGAACGCTGTACCTTATTCTGCTTGTGTGATTTTTCTTTGCTTATCTAGGTGACATTTGTGCTCTTTGGACTTTATAAATGTCAGCAAACAGATCTGAAAAACATGAATAACTTGAAATGTTTCAAGCTGCGATATAAATATTTTTGTTACTTCTTTACCCCTTTATTGGATAAAGTTTTCAACCACATGCTTCCAGAGGTCTGGCCACTCCTTTGAGCTATGCACCCACACCACAGTTTGTGCTTATCCCTTTTTCTCTGTTTCTAGTAAAGAAGGCTTTAGGGAAATAATTTGGGTACCTCTTTTCACCATTAGTCAGAGTTTCTAAATGGAAAAATCTCTTACTGAGTCCAATGTGATCTACTGGGTACAACACCTGTACTGAATACCTTAGCCCTGACCCGGTGTCTGGGCAGGAAAAGATTGTCAGGGTTGATATTGTGGAAAATGTCTTCCCAGCAATCAGCCAGAGGAGAAAAAAAAAAAAAAAACAACTAGCTCTGAAGCATGAGGCATACCATTAGCCAAGCTGTTAAAATGCTCACAGGTAGATAAGCCATGAATCCTCATAAATTTAGAGAGCTCTGTGGTAAATATTTCTAAGATTTATGAAAGAGAATAAAAGGGGCTGAGCTATCTGGAGATCACAGACCTGAAAAGGAAAAACTCTTTTGCCTTCCCTGCTCTATTACTGAAAACTGTTAGCAAGCATCCACTGATGTAGTATGAATAAAGGACTCATCTGAATACTGAGATGAGAACATAAGCAGAGATACTAAATCTGCATAAGATACTTATTTTCTTGTTTCCTTCAAACACTGTGCATTACATTGGCCTAAGAAAACAAAACTCTTACATTTACACATCAACTCCTTTCAAAAAAAATGCAATCCTTATACATTTCAAGAAAACTTAATTCAAGTTATTTATCACTAAATTTCAGTCCAGTGACTGCTGCAGTTTAAAGCTGGTTCCTTCCTACCCCATCTCATTAGAGAACTGCAAAACCTATCTCCCTCTTTCAGCTCCAACAGGACAGAACGCAATTCCTGCCTGCCTTCTGCAAACATTGACAACTTTTTCCAACATTTGTTCTGTCAATGTATGAAGTCTTAAAAAATGCTTGGTGTGCCTAGGCCCCTGCCAAGCCCTCAGTGACCAAATGCCCTGTCACCACGCCTTTTGCAGAAACAGGCATGTATTCTTGGTATTTGAAGTAAAACTCCCTTACAGAAGAGCATCGTGTCTCATGCAGGTGTCTCATGTATCATTAGAACACAACTAGTCCAATTCTTACTATTTCATTTCCTATGTGTACAAAAGTAGTGAGAACAACAGTGAGATAAAACCACAAAAATTGTCCTGCTACTGAAGAATAAAGGGTGGTTCGTTTTTTTTTTTATTGTGTTAGTTAATAGAGCATTATAATGAGCATTTAAGAGGGTGAACAACCACTGGAGGGCTCATTCTTCTGTAGAGTCATTTTAACAAAATGCTGAACTAAACCTTTCAATAACAAAGAATATAAACGTGACCTCTGTGTTGTGTGAGGCTCCTACACTTTATGAAATGCATGAATTTGCACAGAAAACATCTGAGTATACCCATTTTTCCTCAATAACTTATTAAAACAAACTCTAAAGACATGCTTCACTGTGGTCTTCACCATGGGCTGCAGGGGAATCCTCACTGACCTGGGTATCTGCAGGGTTATTTCTCTCACATATTCTCACTCCTCTCTCCTGGCTGCTGTTTCGCAGCAGTTTATTCCCCTTCTTAAATATGTTATTGCAGAGGGGCTACCATCATTGCTGATGGGCTCAGCTTTGGCCAGCAGCGGGTCCATCTTGGAGTCGGCTGGCATTGGCTCTGTCGGACACGGGGGAAGCCTCTGGCAGCTTCTCACAGAAGCCACCCCTGTAGCCGCCCTGCTACCAAAACCTTGCTGCACAAACCCAATACAAGGGTATAGGAGCAGCCTTTTGGTATTTTACAGCATCTATTTTCATGTAACAACAGAAATGTTAAAATGTGTGACTGGTATCCCTGTATGCTAATAAATGATAGGAGGATCTAACAGAACCCATGTCTGGCTCAGAAATCTTTGCGAAAACTGTACACTGCCTGATGTATCGCTGTAAAAGCTGAGGTACTGAATGCCTCCTCCCCAAAATGTCAAAAGACATAAAAATACACAGTGATAACACAATAATATGTCACAATAGACCTGATCATATACTATTTCAAATACAAGTACAAATTTCATACAACTTAATTAACCAGAGATTACATCATGTAATAGTTGTCCTTCCTACCTTCTGTTTTGTTTCTGAGACTGGAATTACATTTGTTTCACATTATGTTAAGTATAGCGGTTCCCTGATTTTGAATACCAAATGTCGCTGTGGTATTAATAATAAAGGTAAATTCCACACAGAAGCTTAGGGAAGACACAAATGTTCAGAATCTCTCAGGCTGAGATTCGTAAGTAGTGACAGAGTGTCTCATAATCAGAATTTAGATTTCAGTTTTTAAGACTGAACTCAGTCTTAAGTAAAAGGGTTTTCAGTAAGTCTTTATAGATGTCAGTGTGCCCCATAAACTACAGCAAAACAGAACAAAAATAGAAAGCAGATTCTTCTCCCTGCAGATTTATAGAATCACATACCTCGTACATATACCAGTCATAGCTAAAATCAACTCTAACAAACATGAACCAGGCTAACAATTCTTGTAAAACTAATATGACAATCAAATTAATCAATTATTTCATTCATTGACTTCACTTGTTTTTCTGAGACATCAGCATGAAAAGTATCTTGTAGTTTACCTATAGATATTTCAGAGATCACCTTCCATTTGGGTCTGGTTCACTGAAAGACTGGCTAAGCGTCATTAGGGAATTTATTGAATTGTTGCAGTTATAAGCATCTATAAGCATGCATTATATTAATATAATATTTTGACTTGGAAGGCAACAGTGGGAAAAGTGCTGTTAAGGCTGACCTTCCAAGAAAAAGAGTTTGGGTGGTTCTTTGTGAAATGCCTTTTATTATACTTAGCAATATTATGGTGCTAGCACTGGACATGAAACAAAGCAAATGCCTTGAAAACTGAAAAATGGCTAAACAATACAGGGGACAAACACAATAGGGAGTGACTGTTATTGAGCACTTTAAGGCATAAAATGTTTAGTTACTGATGTGTGAAAAGAGCGGTCATCTTCTTTCTGTTAGTTCTCAAGATACTTAAAGTTTAAGAACACATAAATAACATCTGGATGGAAACTTTGATTTTCTTAAGAACACGACTTATATGTTTTATAGCAGATCCATTTTTTTTCACACTCACCTTAACAAAAATATTTTTCCCCAAGCTCCAAACAACTTCAGAAAATGCCTTTACTCATTTAGCATATGAACATACAAAGAAACTTTTATCACCATTTCTCAGATGTATCCTCAACCTGTATTACCATTCCTGACAGTACTGTTTGACCTTTTAACTTCAACATGGGTACAGTAATTAATATGCAGATGAACTGTTAACTATGATTTCCTTTATCTCAAAGCAAGCCTCACACATTCATGATATTTCTGCATTTCTCCCTGCTTTTACATCCAACTGGTTTTGTGTCTATTAATATTGCAGCTTTTTATATAAGGGAAAAAAATAAGTCAAATACTGCAAACATGACAGAAATGTGATTCAACGAAAAGCTGGCTCACACAGTTTTCATCTAACAAGTTTCTGTTGGTGGTTTATATAATTATTTTCAGTCCATCAGATTAAAACCCATGAAAATGTGATATGCTTTCTAAGCTTTTATTTTGAATGGCTCAAGTTGACATTTACTTTTTTTCAGTATTGTCTAGCATATGTTCTAGCTAAATTAGCTGACAGGGAGAGATATGATAAATGCAACAGCCTTTCATCTTTCTCTCAAGAAAATTCCTTGAGAGGAAATCAGCAATTACACTACCACAAGCCTTGCTTTAAATTCATAAAAAATACATGTAAAGCAACTGACTAAACAGAAGAAAGTCAGAATAACTGATAGAAGAATCTCTATGAACCTAGATTTGTGGCAAGAAAAAAAGAAAAACAAACAACAAAATAACAACAAAAAAAGCCACCCTGTACTGAGTGGCTTACCAGACTGAATTTTTC